GCACAGATTCATTTTTACCCTAACAGGGTGCCACATAATTGTTATGTTTAACTTTGTGTAATTGTTGTAACTTTTTGACAGCGAGCTTGCAGTGGGCCACTACTTATTATATGATAAATTATTTTGCTATTTCGAATAAGTGGCCAAGTAGCTGGATCCGCTGTATTCGGGACAACTGTATCAACATCACTTAGTACATGTATTTGTTGTACATCAATAACAGATTTATCCTAAGCTGCATCTGTAATCATAGCACAACTTGCTCCCTCACTTCGGGATTTTTCATCCACAATCTCTTGAGTAGCTATTCCATCTGACTTGCCAGACAGAGGCTCCACTGCCGATGCATTCGTTTGTATTGCAGCATTTTAGCTTCAGCTTAACGTTTAAACATGCTCAAACGAAAATTTTCTTAAATGATCGAGCGATAATGCCCGCCAATGTACGTCATATTACCTTATAAAATACATATCTTCATATTGGTAATCGGTATGTTGTTCTGTTTTACCATAATATAATATTTTTCTTGTTAAGTTTCCTTTCAATTCATGCTAAAAGGCAACTTGAAATTAAAAAAAAATCCTCAAGATTCTTGTTCTTTTTTCGCCGACCCAGTAGGCCTTGTTCAATGAACAAGGGCATATAAGAATATAAGAGGGCGTCTGTGGGAAATGAGGAAGTATTGGAAAAAAAAACATAAGTTCCCGAAATCAAACTAGATGTCGTTACGGTATGTTCTTGATTTCTCCATGACAACCCTTCCAGTTTTCTTTCATGTTTAAAAGTAAATTAGTTTTCAAAACTCAATTAACAACTCATATTCTATTTGTACTTTTTCGTATTTGTATTGATATCTAAATTTCGAACTTTTAAATTTCAGTTTTTTAATATGTTAGTTAAAATGAATGGAAACTACTGTCTTTGTTCCATTCGTTTCCTACAAAAATCAACTTTTGCTAGAGTCGCCATCTAGGTGGAGGTATTTTTGTAGTGCTTTCGTTTTTTTTAAATACTTCCTCACTATACAGAATCAGAAAGAAGAGCCGGACGAAAAGGGGCGCCGCAGGCCGCGGCGCCCCTTTTCGTCCGGCGCCCCTGGGCGGTCGCCCAACCGCGCCCTACCCTAACCCCGCTACTGCCAAAGACGGACAGCTTGTCTCTATAATCAAAAATAAAATATGAACAGAAAAAATAAAAATAAATTTTTACACTCGGACTTGGTCTGAGATTTTACATTAAACTCACGTCAGACATAATAATACTTACCGACACATTTAATTCTCTAGAAATCTCACTAATATTCAAACCATCATTGTGTAATGCTATTATTTGTGCTCTTACGTTAATGGATAAATTTCGGGGCATTGTAGTGTAAATTAATTAGGAAAATACCTACTGAAAATGCCGAGAAAATATTTGACATGAATTGTCAAGTGATATATTCTTTTTCAGTAAAAGAGTTTTCGTAACAAAATAGTTTCCACTTTGAAGTGACCTACTTAAATTTTAAATATATGAAATATTGTGAAGACTATTTGTTGTTGCAAATTATTATCTAATGCATAGGCTGCAAAGGTCAAAATAACATTTGTGCTCTACAACAACACGTCAGCATTGTGCATCTCTTTTATTGTTTGTATGCAATTCTAAGATTCGCCTTTAGCGATGCTTTAAAGACACGGGAAATGTTGTCAAAACTGGTAGACCACTTTCTTGGCCGACCGTACATACACTCACAGGCACAATTAACCACCTAATACGTATCATTCCTTAAAATATACAGTCTTACCTTTCGAAAATATTAAACGTGGTTGGGAAATGTCTTCATACCCTTACTTTTGAAGAGATCAAGGAACTGCTGAATGGATTTTTCTGAATTCTTTCTGTTTCCTTTGTATACCAATTTCTAACAAACAAACACACACATAGATTCATCTATTAATTAAGATCAAATTTAAAATTAAATATTAATGTAAACTCAAAAATTAAATATGTTAGTTTAAATAATTATTACAAATGATAATAATAATAATACTTACAGTAGAATAAGGAACATAACATTATTCGCTACCTGAAGGTGGGTGCTAACGGTTGCGCTTCAGTTTTCTTTTTTGAACTACCGCGACTATTATCGTACACTATAAAACTATTTATTCCAATAAATACATTTATATTTATTCGTTTAACCTGTTTGGTTCCGTCGACTATGCTTTCATGCTTTATGCTTTCAATCAAGTGTTTAGTTTTTTCTTAAGTGGGTTTTCTAGCATTAAATAAAACATAACATAATTATCTTTCCTAAATTTGTGTCACCGAAGGGTTTTCATTGAAGAATTAAAAAAAAAACGATTTTTGGTAAACATCCTTTAATAAAAAAGACCTTTCCAATATTTTTGTTGTTTATATTTCTTTAAGTATAGTTTTTATCATCGATATCTGCGATTCGAAAGAAATAGAAGGTTCGTTAATTGTGCCTGTGAGTATATATAAAAATAACATTTTTGTCTGTCTGTCGTGTCAGTTTGTTCCGGCTAATCTCTGAAACGGCTGGACCGATTTTGGTGGGATTTTCACTGGCAGATATCTTAACTTTCACTGGCAGATAGTTTAATATAATAAGGGGTACTTTTCACATAGACGAAGCACAGCTAGTTTTAAATAAATATGGATTTTGAGTAATTGATTATTTATTGAACTTTATTGACCAAAAAAGATGGTACAAAAAGCGGACTTAATGTTAATAGCATTCTCTGCCAGTCAACCTTTGGGAAAACATAAAAATTTATGTCTCTGGACCTTCTCTAAGGCCACCCGCCTACCACGCGGGTCCACTGCGGATTGGTGGATGTTGTGAAGTCGCGTGGTCGGCTATTGCGAATGCTGCTTAACGTTAACCACTGGGCCATCGAGCTCCTCAATGTCACCTTTATCTCATCTGATTTTAGTTGGTGTTTTTGTTTGGATGTAAATAAAACAAACCGAATAATTCAAATATCTATTCAATACTGTGAAATATAATCGTCTAACTTAAACATAAAGATAGTAGCCGCAGCGGAATCATTGTGCGCAGCCTCAAATGCATCACACATACACCTAATAGGAATCTAGATCTCCGTCCTCAAGTACAATAATATTATAAATAAAAATAAACAAAATTTCAGATCAAAACTAGTTTGGAATGAAAAATTGATATAAACAGTTCTGCCGTGCCAATCCAAAGCTGGAAGTAGACTTACAGTGTTTCTGCTTAACAGTGGTCAATTAATTGCTTTAAGGCTGTTAAGTATACCTGGTCGATCATTTTTTAATTTCAACCAAGCAAAAAACACTGTATTATGTTTGAAATAAGATTAAATTACGCAGAAAAACTAACGAAGTATATATTGCATCGATAGTAAAGCAGTGCTTTGAGTTGCCGTATGCTGACCAATCAGTGTAAGTTAAATTGACATAATATTTCTGTCACGCTCATTCCTGAGCCATTATCGGCTCTTTCTTATTTTTATACTTAGAGAGTTCGAATAGCACTAGTCGCGTGCCTCGTGAGACTGCACATGCCGCTTTTATTTGTTGAACCGAGTGATTGCGTCTTTTGTTGATATTTACACCGACGCATCTTTGAAGTCAACTCTCATTCCTATTTTTTCATTCCAAATAAGGTCCGATGGCATTGCTCCACAAAGTCAACGTAACGAAGGCGTCTAATCTACTTATATCTTCTTTCTGACATTCCCAACTATCTCCACCATACATTAACGTTGGGATCAGCACTACATTGTGTAGGGAGCTGCGCTTTCTGGCTAAAGGTTTTGCTGCCAAGAAGTTTTCCCAACGTTCTATTCATACTATTCCTAGCACCCACTCTCCTGTCTAAGCTAGTGGTATACCTTCCATCCCCACTAAAAGCACATCCAAGATATACAACGCCATTCATTTGTTCCAGTTCTACATCATCAACTTTACCTTTGTTCTGATATCGTTTCTTGCAAATACCGTTATCTTTGTCTTCTCGGCATTTAAATGTAGGCCTTTCATCATACAATCATTTTTATCACTGTGACTAGAGTTTGCGCAATAGTTGGATTTTCTGCAAGCACCAAAACGTCATCTGCATCAGGCAGTTAACAACTTGATCACCCATTTGCAATGCCACATTCATAGGTCTTATTATCTGAATACAACTGTCGAGACAGTTGCCGACAACACACAACCCTGCCTGATACTAATATTGACGCCAAACCAGAGTGATGTATTGCCGTCTACTCGCAGACATGCTGTACAATCATAAGTGGACTGTACGGTATGCTGCAGGGTACCATCTATCCACTTATCGGTTGTATGCTTACAGAGTTCTTCTTGTACTACTCTGTCAAATGCTTTCTGCTTTCACAAAACCTCAGAAAAATTGCCGATCAAAGGCTAGATATTGTGGAGCGAAAAAACTTGACCCGTGCATCCCTTTCCATTTCTGAATTCTAGCTGTTTATTCTCTTTTCAAGTATTTTCTATACACTTTGGCTACTAAGCTGATCAAACTGATGGCTCTGTAGTTAGCTCAGCCCATACGTGAGCCCTTGCTTTTGTACAAGGGCACAATGACCACGCGTCTCCAGTCCGTCGGAATCTTTCCAGTTTTCCAACAGAGGTTGCATAGAAACGTCCAGTACGTAGATCCCGCCTAGTTTGATCATCTCATTAGACACCATGTCAATTCCCTCTGCTTTTCCTCTTTTCAGACTTCTTATCGACCATTCAATCTCTTCCATAGTAAAGCCATCGTTGGATGCTGGCTCGGCGGAGTTCACTTCGATTCAATCACTGTGTCTTAGTCCCGAGCACACGCTCTCAAAATATCCACTCTACCGCTCTACCATACTTTGTGTGTCTGCAAGAATGTCTCCAGCTTTAGACTTAATCTTATCCATTCTGGATTCTGACGAACAACGTCGAAACTTTTTTACCACTCTCCAAAAGTTTGGTATTCGACTCGAAGTACTTCGTCAGTTTCTCTTCTTTGTCCATAATCTCTCTTGTGTTTCGTTCTTTAACTCTTTCATAGTGTCACTTAGATGGAAAGATGAATCATAATCTATCCATCCTTTTTTCCTTTCTGCTACGGATTTTTCAACCTCCGCATCCCACCAGGCATATCCTTTAATTGTTTTATGCCTCTTTGTGCATCCACACATTTCTTTTGCAGTATCCACCATACCTTCTTTCAAAATATTCCAGCATTCATCTACGTCTGAGTCAGAGAGATTTACATTTTTGAGCTAGTCCTATCTATCTTTTAATATTTGGTTAAAGTACAAATAGACCGCTATCTGTTTACTTGTTAAAATTATCTCAAAACTCTTAAAGGGCGATCGATATTCTTGAGATGTACATCTAAATACCAAACACATAAAATTATATAAATAAGACGAATTATCATTAAATAAGCCAAAAACTAACATATTTTGTAGAATATCTGAAAGTGGTTTTTTCAAGTTACAATGTGTTGGCTTGGCAGGGCAGAGTTGCATAATACATTAAATTTTGATTAAAAAAGAAAACTATTTTCAACATAAAGGTATCACATGATAAACAAATCATTAAAACTAGAGCACCACAATAATTAACTAATTTATACATTAATAATTATAAAGAGATCGTAACAGCTAATACAACTGAATGATGGTACCTACTTACGCTGCCGCGTGTGAGATATACGTATTCGCTAATAATTCACTTGTTAGTCATAGTCATAAATCTCTAGAGTCGTCGCATAACGTTTCATAATTCATTTCGTAACTACTTATCTGTAAATAATCTGTTGCTATTATTAATACATTTTTATTTTCTATGTTCAGTAAATAGATTTCATTATCAGTCTACAATTATTTACTTAAATCAACGCAGTTCTGTATCAACATAAAAGTACCAGAAATGTATACCACTTCAATTTCATACCTTTACAAAATATCCAACTGGGTACAGACAACAATATATCGGTTTCTTTCGTACAAATCAATTCTTAAGCTCCGACCGAAACGAGCTAAAGCATTAGTCTGGAAATTCAAATCCAAACCCAATATATGTAAAACCGCGTGCATCCCAAGTTGTAACTGTAGTTTCAATAAAGTTTGGATGAAGTAAACAATTGAATTTTGTGTCGTTAAAAATTTTAGACAATATTTATAAAACTACATTTTCGTATGAAACAACCGACCTATAAAGTACAATAAACTGACTTCTATATTTTGTATAATTTATTAGCAAGATTTTTTTGGAATATCGTAGTTTTATAAATATAGTATATTTAAATTCTTTGTTGGTGTATAATATGTTATTAATATTTTAAGTACTGTGTTAGGGATCGTTTATAAACAGATAAATTTTCTGGGATTCTCTACTTAACAATTTTTAAAATCTTTAGAAGGATAGTATGTATAAAATACATATGTACATAAAACTTCGCTATTTCGGTGTCCATGTTGCAATAAGAATGCTATGTTTAACAATTATATGGAATGAAGTCGGCTCTAAAATCATAATTTACTGATTGGTCTCTACGCAAAGACAGGACACATCTTCGTGACAATAATTAAAAATTAGTCATACATCACACACGTTGACTTATTTCTCGTTACAAAGGATTAATTGATAAATGAAGCAAATTTATAATTATTCGGTTTTGTATAATATTTCGTACACTGGGTACAAATTTTTCAATGCTAGATTTTAGTGTCCGACCGAAGCTTCGGCTTCGGCTTCGGTATCGGCCACTTTCGGCCAAAAAAAACCATTCTCGTTGTCGGCCCAAAGCCGATGGTTTCGCCGAAGGTCCGAGCAACCGTCGAGATTGAACGAACTGTTACGAAAAACTGAGTGAGAGACCGACAGACCGGACCGGAGACTTGATATCAATACAAATACGAAAAAGTACCAATAGAATATGAGTTATTTATTGAGTTTTGAAAACTAATTTACTTTAAAACTTGAAAGAAAACCGGAAAGGTTGTCATGAAGAAATCAAGAAAGTACCGTAGCGACATCTAGTTTGATTTCGGGAACTAATTTTTTTTTAAATATTGTACTTCCTCATTGCAATTAAATACTTATCTGCTCCTCAGTGTCAGCCTAGTGAGCAATTGTTCAGTGCTGCAGGACAAATATATGCGGACAGACGATCTAACTTGATTGGTGAAAATGTAGATAAATTATTATTTTTAGCATACAACATAAGGCTGCTTAACTTTGATTACTAATATTTTTAATTAATACATATCGTCAATGATGAATTTTGATGACTACTATGTGAGTTAAAAAGTTCTTGAGAGAGAAGGTTAAGTACAAATATGCTTAGTAAAATAGAATATTATATTATTTTTATAGTTATATAGTATATAGTTTATAGTTCTATTGCTATTGTTATATTTATTTTGAATTTTCAATTTTTTTTCTAAACTATACATTTAATTAAGCAACATTTAATTATTTATTAAGAAGTTAGTGTTTGTTTATTTTATTTATTAGTCTAGTTACGGCCTAGTCGTGTAAAACAAAGACTGATTGATTGGTCTGATTGTAATTTGTGAATTATTTAATAAAAAAATGATTATTTTTTACAAATAAATAACAAAATCACAGACTTTTATTACCATCTCTAGATCAACTTCTATATGAGACAGTCAATATAAACCTTCAATATTGAAATTTTGAAATTATTTTAATATCAATTGTAGCTTGTAGACAATATGGAACAAAATTAATTAATTACATTATAAACCTTCGGCTTCGGCCAAAAATAGACCTTCGGTCGGACACTACATTTATATTCAATTGTATTGTAATCTGCCTTTCAAATAACATACGGCTCATATATCATTGAATTGAATTTGTAAACTTAAATAAGTTTTAAACCACAACTGTACATATCAATCACACACTCACACATATACTTAAGTACTTACATACAAATTAAACGTTACGTTTGGCGATTCAACTTCATAGTTGTTCACTTAATTTTTATTAGGTATATTTGTCCAATGGAGTTCTAATACACTGAAAGATACCATACAATATAATATTTAAACAGCTGTGTAACATATAAAAAAAAATCCCATATCAATTGTATATGAACTCCTTTACGTTACTCGATAAAATCAATAATTTCTTATAATATTTGGTAGAGCTGTTATGTAAATGAACGATGTTCGAGCAGCAACATTTACTTTCCACAAATATTTTTATAGATATATATTTTTTTATCAAATATTGCTTACAATAAAATATAAAAAAGTTTTTATCAATACATTAATTAAATAAACAATAGTACATATAATATTTAATTTTACTAACACTTATAAATATTTACATGATAGTTTGACAAATATGATTTTTCTATTACATTCGACGTCATATTATACTTAATTGTGATGAATGAGACATCTCTCTTGATTCTTATTGCACCCCAGGTTGCTAGTTAATCGAGTTCAACAATGCAAGTCTATCGCTGGCTTTATCGCAGCAATAAAGAGTGTAAGAGATAGTGCTCACCAATTTGGAGGGTGCAGTACGAATCCAACTTAATTTAACTTATACCCTGATATTAAAAGTAATCGCTAATGATTCACTACTGTCTCAATAGGATCAAACGCCTCGCGACGGTACGTCATAACATAAATCCATTAGACAAATTATAAAAAAAAAAGAATTGTATCTAATTTATCACAGTAGGGATCTGCGAGGTTTTCGAAGCAAGGAAATATTTTAACAATACTACAATTTCCTAATGTAGTTTATAGCTGATTAGCACAAAAGTTAAGAGTAATTGTACAAAGATGGCAAATCTGTATTCAGAAAACCTCCGACAGATACTTAATATAATAATAGTAGTGTAACACCACACGTTTGCACTGACTAAGTTTTTGTTGACTTGAAGTTTAAGTTAAAGACGAACATCAGGAAAGTAGTATAAAAAGAAAAAAAAGTGTAGTGAGAAACATTATTCAACAATAACTTGCAGAAATCGGGCGAGTAGGGAAGCCATTGCAACAGTAGTTCCATTTTGAAGTGAAAAAATCAAGAGAAACCCGAGCGCTTAGTAACGGTTTTTTGACGTTGACGTCAAACTTGGTACATCAGAATAACAAATTTTGGGAAAGGATGTATACCATACAATGTGATTAAAGTTAAATTCAAAATTATCAAGTGGAAAAAAGGCAAGCAAGACTGCGAAACGATAGCTTTCGACGGCGAGGTAAAAGATTTCTAACAGTTCATGATTAATTTTCAAAAACGAACAAATAATATTTATTGGAGAGAACACAGAAATTAAAATTTTGGTAGAGAGCGACCCAATCACTGTCCACAAGGAGTGCAATAAAGGTTGGTGCTCAGTGCTCTTAAGTACCAAACGGAACAAAACTGCTTTATTCTTACTGCCTATGCTTTAGTCAACATTACCCCAAAAAATGTTGGGAAATAGTTAATGCGAAGGACTTGCGAAGAAAGAGATTTTCGTCAGTGCAAACGGACGGTTACAGTTAATGAATTAACAAGCAAATTGACAGCATTCAATATTTCAAATTGAATAATTATGTGATTGATAGATAGAATTTAAAGACTTAAACAAGTGTTAAGAAAGCAGACGACGTTTTAGCAAAATAGGAATTGATCAGAAGAGCTGTCTTCGGGAAAATTTACTTCATATTCGGATTGCCAGAATATAAAACTACAAAACTTACAATATTATTCATCTCGTTTACATTGGTATTTAATAGAGAAATTCAATCAAAATTGTAAGCAATTGGAATAAATAACTAAAAATAATAATGGAATTATAACCACCTGAGAAGGGTTATTTCTTGATTATGGGAACTGTCTGAACTGGGAACTGTTGATTTGATTTGATTTGATCTGTCGACACATAATTTAGCAAAATTACAATATATTGATATGTTGGAATGAGAATGGCAATAATAAAACATCTAGCTACTCCAAACTTACTTCAACTAGACATACAGGCAGAAACGTGAAAATAAATAGCGATCTGACATGGGAACAATACTAGTGGATTATTATATCACTGCAATGATCGATTTATTTGTAAGCACGGTTCAATTGTAAAAATAAAAGTACCCCACGCCAAATTTAATTCTTGACGTCGTTTGATTTACTGTTAATATATTTTTTCAAAGTCTTTAATGTGATTTCTCGGCGAATCAGACGAAATAGTATTTGTCCGATTGTCAAAATTCAAACTTTCACTTTACCCGCTTCGATACCGGTAGAGTTGTTTGGTTTTCCACACTTCCTACCGGATGGCGTTGACCGAATTCTTGAGTCTCGGCGTTTATAGGTCCGGTCTGGGCGTGGTGGGGGGCGGATCCTCGGGGGGCGCTCCCTCCAACGAAGGCTTTATAGTTTCTAGTAATTTCATCAACGCCTGTTCAGTCTGAAAAGTTCATCAGCGATAAAATTAATACAGAACAATATCATATATTTAAATTAAGTGTCAGTGAAATAGTCGAATTAGAAAGAGAAAAGATACGGAGCCTGTTCGATGAAAACAAAATATTGGATCGATTTTTAAAATTCTTTCACCCACTCGAAGCTGCATCACGCGGGGTTGACGGATTATAATTTACGTGGGCGAACTCTCTAATATATAGCAGGTGAAATATAAGTATTTCCTAATTTACATTTATGGAAATCCGTGACTTCTTATTAACATCTGTTAGTTATGGGTAATAGGCGTGGTTTTTATTTCGAATATTATTATGGAAGGTTATGAGCTAGTTTTGGCAACTTCGACTGGTGCGACGAAGTGAACTTTGATACATCATAGCCGTCGACGCAAATAGTTTTGTCATAATGAATTATTGTATTTGGCCAAAAAGGGGGGTAGGGGCCAAAAGCGGGTGTTCTGCCCTTTATATATTTGGATCGCAAAGAGAATAGGGATGATGACTAATTTTTGTTTGTTTGTCCGTCAGGTAGAGTGTTAAAAAATATTAAACAAGTATTTTTTTTATTTTTTTCGTAATAATAAAATTACGGCGTTACATTGAGTTGAAATTTCGCATGACGTCACGTTAGAGTACGTTTTCTACTCAACTGTGACGTAGGGAGCCCCCACTCCTCAACTTTAATACCTGTTATCTAAGCTATTTCTTGTTAAATTGAAGTAAAAAAAAAATACGTATCTAATATTTTTCTATTATCTGACAGACGGACTAGATAGAATTGCATTTTTTTATCCAGTAATCATCCCTATTGGCTCTATCTGGCGCTACCTGGTGCAGATGCCGCCTGGTGTCGTCGAGCGCGCGGCGCCACGCGCGCAGCTCCCCGCGCTGGCGGGCGGCGTGCAGCTGCAGCACGCGCGCCCACTCCGCCCACGCCGCCCCCTGCCCGCCCCCGCCCTCGCCCCCACTCTCCACCCTGCACGGATATATAGTCTATTCATCATCCTCTGAGACAGAATGTAAACAAATCGGAAAAAGGTTCTTTGATATGTCCAAATATAAATGAATTTAGAATTAATGAAAAAATAAAGTGACATTAAAAACGCCTAAAATTGAAACTGTTCCCAAACATTGGACGTATTATAATACTACTCAATTGAGGAGTATAGGTGATAAGGCAAATACTTTACGTAGAAACGTAAAATTTTGTAATTAGTCGGGTTATACCGGCCAATTTTACTCTCGATCGACTCGTTGACTCGTGCAAAATGCTTTAGTTAAATTCTTGTTATTTGTTTATTCCAGTTGTTAAGTTTGTTGTTTTCTGTTATTGTTAAGTTTTAAGTTAAATGAAATAAAATATTTTTTTAACCGATGCTCTAAAAAGGATAACAGTAAGAACAGTGCTAAAGTGCATAGACCATGTCATAAAAGAACAAAAATTTTTAAAAATTAATGGTAAAAAAAATAGATGATTTGGTTGACCGTTTTGTGATAGAAGTTGGTGCGACTAGTTCCTCAGAGGAAGACAGGGAAAATTCTGAATAAAATTATGTTACTCTTACAATTGCTATTTGAAAAAGAAATAAACTTATTGTATTGCATATCTACCATACAATAATTTGTCCCATTAACAAATTTTATTTACCTTCCAACATCAATAAAAAAGTTTGAGAAACATTGGTTTGTTTGTTTACATTTTGTCTCAGGAAGTTGAATAGACGTCGAGTGCCTACTACGGGTGTGCACAGTAAACGAAAGTAAATACATACTTGTGGCCGCCCGCGACTTCGTCCGCGTGGAAGTCGGTTAAACTTTAAGGGTGGACAACCCTTATCACTAAGGTTTATTAAAAATAGACGTTGGCCGATTCTCAGACCTACTCAATATGCTCACAAAATTTAATGAGAATCGGCCAACCCGTTTCGGAGGAGTACAGGAACGAAAATTATGACACGAGAATTTTATATATGTATATAGATTTTTTTTTCTGGTAGTGATATTGCTCAAATTAATTATGATAATTTAACGTGAATGCAAATAGCACGCGAGTACCGCCCCTCCTACTCATATTAGAACTTAAAGAATTACGGCCGGTTTCTGTATTGAGAAAAGCACAAAATTTCAACTAATTATTCTGAATAACTTAAGTATTTTTCCACTTCATATGGCAAAAAGTCTTAGTTTAATCAAGTAGCTATCAACCGATCATTAAAAAATCATAAATCAGTGATAAAAACATGTGTAGATGACGCTTAAAATGATTTAAGCACGGTTTGAGACGTGCTCAGCTTCAAATTCTCAATTCAGAAACTGAGTGTAAGATCTTGAGCATTCATAGAACGATATCAGTTTAAGAGGAGCGAGACAGCGTAGCGACGCCATGACAGAAGTTGGCGTTATCGCAGGAAATTTTAATATTTAAATTTATTTCTTGATACTTTTATGTATATACTTCATGAATATCTATAAAATACAAGTATAAAATAACAATCTACACCCCAACTTATCAACCAGTTACGCATGGAGCAAGTATTATTTCAAACAGAGAAGAATACCCTATCGTCATGCTTTCTCAGATAAGCCATCTAAACTGTGTAACACACCTGTGCGCGGGGTGGTGCAGCAGCGCGTGGTGCAGCCCCCAGTACAGCGCGGCGTTGACGAGCAGCAGCAGCAGCACGGCGCCCCCCAGCAGCGCGCCCCCGCCCCCGCCCCCGCGCGCGCCCGCCCCCCGCGCCGCCGCGCCCCCGCCCCCCAGCGCGCCCAGCGCCGCCGCCGGGGACTTGGCCGCCGCCGCCAACACCGGCTCTTGTGACGACACTGACGGTTTACAGATCGGTTTAATCCAGCTCGTTCCATTATTCTCACCGACAGATGGCGTTGTTCCCCGTTCCGCCGCAATCGCATGCGAATGCGAAACATTTGCGAAATGCGAAAGACCTCCTGAACAAGACGTAGGGCTTGATGTAACAAGCTTACTTGAATAAAGATATTTTCATTTCATTTCATTTTAAATCTTCACAGGCAATGCTTTGTCTCGCTCTAATATTAGCTCGATGAAATAGCTGCGTCCTTGTCGGTCCGGTTTCGCAGTCGACTGCGAGAAACGTCGTCACACAGACGCACGCGTTTCGCATTCAGGGTTGTCACCCGTCCCGATATTATGCCTGATGAATGATCGCATTCGTAATAGTTTCGTAGATGTTTCGCATTCAACGGCGTCAGATCGCGGTATCGTTTGTGTGGAACGCCATATTGGTGATCGACGATTCCTCAATATTTCTAAAATATCCGATAAAATCAATTAAAGACGAAGGAGACTTCAGTTTACTTATCCGGTGGATCTCAGCGATTCACTTTAGAGTGAGCTCTCTGAAAAATACTTTTGTCGAATAATAATCCTTCTAGTTCAGAACTAGAATACTTCAGAATTTATTTTTAATATATATCGAATGGCACGATGAAAATTGGCCATGTTTGATCTGCAGGCGTATTCGCTAACTTAACAGATAAGTTATAGTCGTAATCACGGAAAAAAAGTGAGCAATTCCAATGTGTCAAAATAATTAAATCGTATTCTATCTATCAATGGTTCTCAATTTTTAAATGTCAATATCGGCGATCACCACTGAACTTCATATTGACACTTGATTTCGTATCGACAAACTGTTAATTCGTATTCTGTAAACACCACTAACCATAAAAATGAACTTCGATGAGTGATTTCATCTAAATTAGGGATTACGGATTTATTTCTGCAGCATATGCCGTAATAAAGATACATAGGTTAACTGACATGGATACTGCCAGATTAGTATACTTCAGTTACTTTCATAGTGTTATGTCGTACGGTATCCTATTGTGGGGAAATGCTGCCGACATACAAACAATTTTTGTGCTTCAGAAAAGAGCAATTCGATCAATTTATAATCTTAGGATTAGGGACTCTCTGAGGGAGAAATTTAAGGAAATAGACATAATGACTGTTGCTTCTCAATACATATACTAAAAGCTTATTATAAGATATCCGATTATATAACAGATAAAAGACTGCTAGGACTTAAGATGATCCAGCAACTGGATAGGTGATTACTTCTAAAGTCATTATATATCAAAAATTATCTTGATTCCATTACCGGTATTCCGCCGCTGCCGGCGCGCCTTCCTGGCGGCGGGGGCGGCGCCCTCGGCCTCCGCCTGCAGACGTGCCAGCAGCAGGCGACAGAACTGTTCCAGACCAGAGATAGCGTTCTTTTCTAGGAAACCTACCCAAAAAAAAAACATGTCATTATTTTTATCAGTAGTTTGTTAATAACACCCCAGCACAAGTCAGAAAACTGAAAGAAGGCGGAACATAACCCCCACCCTGGCCCAGTGCGAATTTGTGGGTGTTAAAAACTGCATATGCAGCCGGAACCAATCTTCAAACCGTATCTCAAAATTATTTTTATTCCATAATTATTTTTATTCCATTTTTCTAATAAATGTAATAAATTTTTAAAAAGTTTATGTAAGGGTCGTACTGCAAATAAAAATCTGCATGTGTGTTTTCATAATCAGCGATTCCCCTGGGCTCTTATAATACAGCCGTCGACTTGTTAGGCTAACCTCTGATGGTGGCCCACATGCTCTTCTTGTAGTGTATGTGCGCGTGCACGTGCAGCGCGGTGCGGGTATCGTGCACGCGCGCCAGGCAGTAGTGCACGCGCACGCTGAAGTAGTCCGCGTACGGGATGCCGGTGTTCTCGCTGCACGCGTCTATCGAGTACAGCACGCCGGGCTTCGAACACTTGTTCATCACCTGGCGACAAACACCGGACACGACTTTATTAGTCTAAATCATTTGTCAAATATTTCAAAACTAGCTATCCCCCAGCGCCCGCCCGCGTGCTCTTGTATTATACATAAAAACTCCCTTTTGAATCACCCTATCTATGAAAAAAAAACATATTAATAAATTTAATTATTACTTATTCTTAATTAAAAAAAAGTTTTATATATGTCACAATTAATAGCATTCGCAGTCAATTAATTTGAAGTCAGATGAGTTTGTGATGTAAAATAATTATTTAAAAAAGTACATTATCATATATACTCTGAAATAGTTTGAGATGCGCTAGAAAAGGGATTTAGTTATATAATTGTAAGGTTTATTTGCATTTAAATTTACACTATCAATACTTTATTATATATAAACTAATCAGAAAGGATGGCGCTTTCCAGCCAGTCGCCTAGATTCCCGCCCCCAGTGAAACACTTGACTATCGGTGGTGACTGACTATGGCTCCATCAGAACTAATTAACGAGTCGAGCGGCGTAGTGTACCTATTATTATAGTATTTCTATTTTTCAAATTAATTATAAGTGTATCTATAATTCCCAAAAAAAAAAACAATTTTATTTTACATTATATGAACGAGATGAAAGTGGCTGGCGCTGCTTTACTTATAGCTGTTTACTTATACCTATAGCTTTACTCGTTATTCAGTAGTAAGTTTAATTCAATAAAGCTCATAAGTTGTTACCTAAATTTTCATTTATTATATATTTGTGTCATTACCAGAGATCGGAATTAGGTAGAGTTATTTATGTACTTGCATCGAAATGTTGATATGAATGTGGACCTTCCCTACAAATGCGGCAACATCGCGCGTATTGGTATTTTGCAACTTTGGACATCCGATGTCATTGATGTAAGTTTGGCAACGTCGTGCGTGCAGTAGTTTAAATTGTGTAAAAGTAAATAACTTTTTATTTAAACAATCACGGGATTTTTTTCTGCTCTTTAAAATTAATCTCGGGATTTGAGGCATATCCACTTTATTCTTTCGCTGTATGAAATCAGTGTAAGTACATGAATAACTCTACCTAATTCCGACCACTGGTCATTACACGTACTTTTAATCATTGAAATTGAGTTAAAAATCTTATATTATAGTAACCAGCTAAAACAAATTCGGGCAATATTCGTTCAGCGTATACAAATTTTAAATTTATTTATTTCTTATCATACAACGTGTCAGACTTTATTTTTTATGTTTTCCGCCAAAGTCGATATGGCCAAAATGTTCCTCTGTCCTCTTTTACATAATAAATAAATATGACATGTCATAGTGAATTGAGGTGAGGTGGTGCTGTACCTGTGTCTCGGTGACGTGCACTTCCTTGGGCCCGATGGGGCCCGACGTGAGCCCCAGCGTGTAGCTGATCTGGCGACACTTCAGCCCGTCCGCCACCTCCCACGGCGCCTACATATACAAAAAAAATACATATATATTTATTATCATCGCCAACCTATTAATGTCCCCATCACTGGTGCTCAAGCCTTCTTTATCGATGGAATCTAATCGAAACGAATAGGGAGAATGGGGGACCCAGTGCCGATTGGTGGGTGTTAACGAGTGCAGATGCAGCCGGGACCTGACGCCTAACGTGCCTTCCGAAGAACGGAGGAGTTCGAAATAATCAATTTTTGGTCACCCATCCTATGAGTCGACTCGCCAAGACTAGATTGAGACTCTTCTCAATTTTTAACTTTACGAAAATATCCAGTCGTGCTGTTTTCTTAAGTTTCTTCTTTTAATGTTATGTATATGTTATTTTAATTACTTTTTTTTATACTTGACCATAACTTCAAATAATAATACAACTATGAATGTTATAAGATTAATTAACTTGAAAGTAACTGTGATTTTTTGTTAAAATTAAAATTAAGATGTGACGACGTGTTGATTACTCACTGCCTGTGAATCGGACCGTGTTTTAAAGGTTCGTTTATAATGGTCGCGTTCTGGTATAAGATATTAGTAACAAATTTTTATTTAGTTCCTCGCTAACATTTATTGTGAAAGATAGTTAACTATAAATAACAAAAAAAAGGTATTTTATACGATATATTACTTCATTTTACACGATGATATTTATATGTCGATGTTGACAGGTCAGAATTGAATGTCCTTCTTTATATTTTCCGAACATATAACAGAAACCTGTATTTTAACTTTAAAGAACATCCCAATTATCGATTGCTGGACGTCAGAACTGATAAATATGTATTTAACGAATCAACTTTATAGATTCGATATCCGTTATGATCCGTTATGGCTGGATTCCTTTAAAATCGACTTAAACGAGCTCTGCTGTATTCACAACTTTTTTTAAATTATGTGGTATTTCAATAATTACAATTTAAAATTTATTAATATTTCTATTTTTATATTTTACAATTGAGGAGGACATGAGTAGTTAACAAGAGAGAGGAAAAAACGCGTTTATAATTTACAGGAACGAACACAATATTATATATAGGTATATAAAAATAATCAATGAATACCTGCACGTAGTCAGTGGTCCCCCTGGCGGCGAGCAGTTCCAGGTTGAACTTGGAGTTGGTGAACATCATGGTGAAGAGCTGGTCGATGTTGAAGGGCACCTCCTGCTGCAGCAGCTGGCGACCCTCGTGGCTCGCCGTGCACTTGTGCCCGCCCTCCCCGCTGGGGACATTACATCCGTTACATTATCCACGGTACTTCTAAAAGTTTTTCGAACGTATTTTTCAAGAGAAATTAAATAACTACTGTCTAATTTCATCATAGTGACAACGATTTATCGACAGTAATATTTGTGTGTAAGGCGTGTCTTCGAAAGAACCGGATCTAAGTTTTTTTTTACTGGGGCAGAAATTTCGTATGGCGCCCTTCTCCCCCCCCCCAATAACGCTTCATGAGGCCGGGTTTATGTCGAACGTTATGTCATTGAATAAGAATGAGAATAGTGAAACTCTTTTTTAAACTGGTTTTATTATAACGATTTTGGCGCCCCCCTGACACTGGCGACCGGAGCAAGTGCCATTTGCCCTCCCTATATCCAGGCCTAGCCTTAGACAAACCCGTTTAATGACAAATTAACGACATCGTCCATTGAATCTTTCACAAAGACGTCGCGATCACACTAGCTCCAGAAGGTTCCAGATTTTAACCAACTAAAAATGTTATTCTTAATGAAAAAATTTTAAAAATCCCCTTTCACCTTGGTACTCTGAGATGGGATAGAGAATATTTTCCAGATCAGATAAAGATCTTTTCTATATAGTGTTTAGTTTGGGTGGTGATACCGTACTTTCGTTGGTCCCGTGCCACATTTTGGCTTTGTTTTGGTTGAAGTTTAATTCAAAACTGCACTCAACAATCATATTGAAACGAATCCAATATAGTAACGCAAATTTAGGCATTGAATATGAGCGGTGATCAGTGTTGCCAAACCCAAGAAACTAGAAAATTACAGCTCATCAGTAAAAAAACAGGAGACAACAGTTGGATATGTAGAAATCATATTTCATACGGTACTCCTATAAATAAAGTTGACTTACATTCATTGTTATATAATAATATTGATCACAAAATAAAAAATAAAAGAAAAATGAAACGAAATAAAAAAAAAAACCGCTTTCATACTCAATGTTCTAATATGTATATTTATTTTTTAATATTATTTGTTTGTATATATTAAGTCATTTTCCTTTTTTAAACCACACGTTTATTTGTTGAATTTTAGCTATCTGTGGCTTCAAATCAATAGCGATTGGTGATATCAGATTTATTTGCATATTGTAATAGGTGGTGCTGAACGCTAATCGAAAAGCAGTAAAATTAGGAGTGGATCAGAAAACAGAGGCATCACTGTGAGATCAGAAAAACTACTATTTTAAAACAGTATCGTTGGTGATACTAGCGGTGATGTATATGTGTCGTACTTGTTCGGTTTGTCCGGTTCGCTGTCGCTGGTGTCCGACATGTCTGTGGGTAAAGTGTCGCCTCCCTCTTCCTCCCTGTACGAAGCCGCATCACCGTTTGTCACTGTAAAAATAATATATATATAACGTTTTTTATTAACACAAAAAGAAATATCAAGTCATAGTATTTTTGAAAAACATTGTATTCTATATTTATTTAGAAAACAAACAGTGGTAACAACAATTCTATTACACAAGTTAAGTCTCCCGTAGAACCTCAAAATAGGTTAACCTTTACTAAGTCTGTTTGATAATATGAATTTTGGCTAATACTAAGTGCAGTCTCAGCGAAATTTATTCCAACGTTAAACCTTATTTATTAACAAAACTGGAAAGAATTAATAGTCACATTAATTTGATATTTTACTATATGCTATTTGTAATGTATGCATCTGATATTAAAAATAAATACAGTTAAGTATTTATTTTTTAATTAACTTGTAAGGCAACGGGCCCTTGCCAAAAGGCGCATTTTTTTATTGCAGTAGCATTTATTGCAATTCAATATGAGTTTTGTTCATAATTTGTGCCTTTGCATGTACTGGCAAATGTTGACTTAAGACTTAAAGACCTCTTGGGAATTCGTAAAAAAAGTAGGTACGCGGAATCAATTATCGATTGGGCGATTGTGCCCAACAAAAACTGTTTGAAATAGTTCTACTCGTTTGTGAAGGCAATATGTGGCGTCTTTTACATCTTATCTCATAGTTGCCGTCAAATGATATATTTGTACTGTAGCAATTCAATAAATCTGCGCTTTATGACCTCAAGTTTATTTATGTGGAAAAGATAACTTCAAAAGTTTTGATGAGAATTGTAAAAAAAAGACAAATTATTCCGATAAGATTCTTCTATATGAAATAAAAACAGTAAGAAAAAAGACCCTGGTTGGCTGTATAATTGATACAGCCATATTTTATGCGTGGATACGTCTATGTATGAATGGATATATGAGTAATTGATAAAAAAAATAAATAAACAAATTGAAGACACTAAACACTTAATAAATAAATATTCGTTGCGTTCATTTGTTGAATGAAAAAGTATTCACTAGCGCCAACAGATGGCGTTAGTGCATATACTCCTGCTGACAGAATGCCCCTCCCCCTACAGAGCAAGCATAGTTCACTTATACGCCAATAGATGGCGTTAGTGCATATACTCCTGCTCACAGAATGACCCCCCTGTAGAACGAAAACATAGACGTATCCACGTCAAAAGCAACCCTTGTGAGTTTCTCACCGGTACAAGGTCTCCCGCCGTAGATTTGCGAATCGATGGCATAGTTTTCGACATTTACAAGAACTTGTAGCAGCCTAACTGAATAAAAAATATTGAATTTGAGGATGATGTGATAACTACTGTAGATGCAACCAGTATCATTGGTTTATCGTGCACATTGAAACAAGGAGGAGGGCTTAAGTTAAAATTTCTTTTAGACACTATCCGATGACCGGCCGTCACGAAAGGTTAACATTTGCAATATCACAACGAACACAGTGGCGACTTGACAGACAAAATAACTCTTATAAAAATCGTTTAAGGCGCACCCCGGGCCCCAGTGGACAAACACCTTATCAATTAATGTTCGGTAGAGATATAAGGACGAAATTACACTCAATGTTTAAAAAGACACACAACACCACTCAATCACAATCCAACAATGGGCCCATAAGATCTTTCGTTCTAGGAGATAGAGTACAGGCAAGAAGCTATTCTAGTCCTCGCCGGAAGTGGACGTTTGCCACTGTATTGCAACGCCTAGGGAAATTGCACTATGTAGTACAAACTGACGATGGTTTAAAGTGGACTCGTCACTTAGACCGACTGCTGCCAGCATCCCAGGTTCCACAGCCAGGAATCGCCGCGGAGGCGTGTCATATATTACGTCCGATATGCATTGCTTAGCAACCTCAGTTTGTTATGTGATTCTCAATAAATTATGGAAATAGTTACTTAATATTAGTTACGTGTATTATTTAATATATAACATATTTTTTTGAATAAAAAAAAAAACAATCAAACCGGATATTTGAACGGTTTCAGTAGGCTGCGCAGCCACAGCTAACTCGTAACCCTCGACCACGTCGACTTCAAGCAGTGTCGAGAGTTTTCTATTGATAATCACAAAATCTTCCGTTTCTTGCATATAGTATGTCACAGCACGATTTAAAATATCGATTAAAAAACGCATCCACATTTCTTTAAAATGAACATAAAAAATATTGTTTATTCTAAAGACACTTTTTTAAATCTAAAAATTTTATTACTATGTTACAGAGAAAGTTTTTAAGAAGCGATAATTTCAATTGAGTAGAGGCAGTTGCGCTATCGGTACTATACTGAGCCGGGGTCTCCTGAGACGGCTCTATTTAAGCAAACAAGCAACTATTGTTCACTAACACTCTTGTAGAACGACAAGGAGCAATAATAATGTCACTGTTTTACGTTTCAACCTTGAAAAGGAAAAATCATTAATGTGTCCGTCCGTCTGCACAGTGCCGGTTTTAGCACTACTAGCGCCCTGGGCGAAATTTCTTCGGCGCCCTCTAACTGCAATTGAATTACAATCAGTTACTACTACATATTACAAATCAGTTACTTGTCTTTTTTTCGCCGACCCGACCTACTTGTAATTTTCCCTAAATTTAGGTAGATTGTTAAGTTGGCAGCATTAGAATGGATCGTAGTGTTCAATCGGTTTAATTTCTTGGGAATCCCCGACTTTCCGACCATACAGAAACAATGTGTTTTTCTATAATCGGGGATTCCCGAGATCTGTCTCTTTTAATTTTTTAAGAAGAAGAACACAATCAACAATTATCTTCTTGCTTGACATAAGGGGACGCTCTTAAAACAATTATTCGATTATTTTAAAACAAACAAACACAGTAATCACACGTTTAACGTTACGTTACGATACTCTTGTTCCAACTATAGTGACATTAGTTTTATTTAAAAAGTAGACATATAAATATACTACTTATATGTCTACTTATAAGTAGCTGATTCATTTTTGACGGATCACATCATTAGGTAAGTACAGATTCATTTTTGCTATCTATACTACACATTCCCTAATACTTAAAGTCTATAAGATGTTAAAATAACAGGTTTATTATTGAAATTGGGTCCAGATTCTTTACCCTTGTAACACCCTAACAGGGACACCCTGTACATAATTGTTATGTTTAACTTTGTGTAATTGTTGTAACTTTGTGACAGTGAGTTTGCAGTGGGCCACTACTTATTATATGATCAATTATTTTGCTATTTCGAATAAGTGGACAAGTAGCTGGATCCGCTGTATTCGGGACAACTGTATCAACATCACTTAGTACATGTATTTGTTGTACATCAATAACAGATTTATCCTAAGCTGCATCTGTAATCATAGCACAACTTGCTCCCTCACTTCGGGATTTTTCATCCACAATCTCTTGAGTAGCTATTCCATCTGACTTGCCAGACAGCGGCTCCACTGCCGATGCATTCGTTTGTATTGCAGCATTTTAGCTGCAGCTTAACGTTTAAACATGCTCAAACGAAAATTTTCTTAAATGACCGAGCGATAATGCCCGCCAATGTACGTCATCTTACCTAATAAAATACATATCTTCATATTGGTCAAAACAAAGATTTGAAATTTATTACAAATTATTAGCTATTATTAGCTATAGCTACGAAATTCTCGTTTATCTCCGAAGTTAGATATCTATTTGTCTATTTCGTAATGAACATATAAATAAGGGACTTAAATAAAATACATTTGTAGCGGGGGACCCTGACTAATTAAATAAAATAATAGTATGAGCTAAAAGTCCTTGGCTTAACATAGCATCATTTTAAAATTTTCGTGGTTAATTCGAATATCACCCGCTACCAGACTTTGGGTCGCGACCTCGTGCGTAAGAAACGCCGTTTTGAAGTTTCCAGCCTTTCTTTTTCAACATTTGACATCGCAATACCAACAAAAGATGGTAAAGTCCCGTAACTACTTTCATAAGGGTATAATGGATACGTTTTGGTCGAGGATTCCCCTTCACGTCGTTTGTACGTTGGAAAAGTAGTAAGGGGATTTTATAGGCAGTAATTTAGTAAACAGAATAATCACAGATTTTAAATTGATTTAGAGCAATGAAATAAAATCCTAATAGGGTATAAATTACAAATAACAAAACTATACCACATGTAAGTCAACTATAAGCAATAAGTGATTGAACAGAAATTAGAAAAATTGTATGTGGTTGAAGAGTTCATAAGTTTTAAAGATTAACCGTCACATATTTTTGCTAAATAACATTTTTTATATTATTAAATCAATAAAAAAAATATATTATTCTTCAATATTTATAGTCCGAGTCTTACTTCAAACGAAACACCAATAAGAACACATGACGTCATTTGTAGATAAATTTGTAGTAAAACTATCTACAAATAAACATTCAAACTGCAAAAAATTGCTAATTTACTTGATTTTTAACAGGTTACAAGGGTCAGTTATCCGTTTTATTTAATTACACGTTTGAATATAAAAACTGCATACGATAATTCTTTTTTTAAAGGAAAATCCCTTTTGTTTACACCACAAAGCACGTCCTCGGAGTGCCGTTTACGCGGTTTTTTTTGAACAGTTATATTTTAAACACAGTTTTAAGGTACTCATTTAACATAAAATAATGTCTTTTGTAGAAATAAGCACCCATACTGATTAATTTAAAACAATTTTTAGAAAGTTGTCCGATCCCCAATTAATGGTTAAATAATTTATTTTAAAATACTAGATAGCCACTCTCTTGGGCTGTCATGTTCTAAAATAAAAGAGTCAACCTCAGTACTATTTTTTGCCGTACATTTTGTTCTAAAAGTCGGACTGTTTCATAATGAAAAAGACAGTTTAATATTATTGTCACTAATGCCACGTGTTTAATACTTTGTGCCATGTGTAATTTGAATGCTGCAGGCGTTCGAGCACCTTGTGAACTAACAAATCTGGAAGTAATCTAAAATAGCCAAACATTTCCGGTTAAAGTACCATAGCTACCCGAGGCATTAAGATATTTTTGCTCGGATACAAATAAGTCGTACATCTGTTCAAAGTCAACTATCGAAAAAGTGACTATTAATCGATAGATAAACATCACTAGTGTGTGTATATGCAGTGTTGGGCGGTAATCAATTAATATTTTAACAATATTAGTAATTGCAATTAATTTAGTTAGATAAAGATAATAACACTGGCATTTAACACTGACTCTAAATTAGAAAGCATTTGTTCGATTTTTTAATTGATAAATTATATTATGCAATAAATGACTTCTTTGAAGATAAAAATGTATGACATGTAATCGTAAATTTGTATTTCTAACATTTTCATGGCATTGATTTTTTTAAATTATTTTAATATATATATTTTTTAATTTTATAATATAAAATTAAAAAATATAATATATATTTTTTAAAAACGAAAGCACTAAAAAAGCACATGGTCACCCATCCCATTGCCACCTCACAGAAAGATTGATTTAGTGCGGACTTGAACCAAAAGCTTTCTGTTGACTTTGCGAGATCATCAGTCATATGTCTTTCCGTGTGCCACCCTTATATATTATATTATTTCTTTAACGATGCTTAAATTTTGCCCAACAATGTATGAGTGTGACTCACCTAGTGGTGGGGATGTGTCGCGGGCTTGCGGAGCGCGGCCGCTGCGGGACTCGTCGCGGGACTCCGACCCCCCGCCCGCATCCATCGACGACTCCACCAACTCCTATGTTACAACGGAGAGATCCAAATTATATGGGCACTTACAACTTATCGCAAATATTGTAAAGATTGTAGCGCTAGGCCTGGTTGGAAAAGTGTGTAATTATCTGATTATAGGACATCGCAGTTATACTTCGAACTTGATGTTTTTCATATTACTGGATATGGAGGCCTGCTGGTTATAAAAAAAAATGCCAATAAAATTATTAGAAGAATTTGATCACATTTAATAATGTTAATTGGTAATGGTTATGACATAATGGTTATGACGGGATTTGACGATGCTAGATTAACGTGGACATACCCTCAGATCTTAAAGCCCCGGGAATTTTAAAATCACTTTCAATCAAATATTGCTTTATGTTTTTACAATTATGCATTATGTTACTCAACATAACACAAGTTTTTCAATGTGTAACGATTACCTATAAGAAATCGCTTTTTAGCGATAAGGCCACCGATTGTATTATAATTTGTCATTGTTTGTAACATTAATGTCTTTTTAAAATAATTTATTAATAATTATAATA